TATTTACGCTTCCTGGTTTTATCAGGTAATATCATTGTTGATCTTGTTATTCGTTTTAATTTCAGGAAGATATATGTAGGTGTTGTAAATTAATATATTGGAAATACTAAAATATCGATATTACATTTTACACGTGTCCTGAGCTTTTTTATTTAAGTGTCTACAAAGATAAACACACTTGTATGTTGATGTAATTTCTAAATAAAAGTTGTCGTTGGTGATGCGTCGAGCGATTTTAGTCAATATTTCTTCTTCTCTTTTGGTAATACCGTCGTCCTACTCTTTTCTCCTCTCCCTTATTTACTACTCAGTTATTGATGTCTCCTACCTTGTAAGTATGTCATGGTTTAGCTTCTTGCTACGTCTAGCAGTCTATTTCCAGCTGTTTTACGAAATATAAAGTAGTCTTTGGTTTAATGTTTTAAATTAAATCTAGTCTTTGCATTATTTATCATTATTGTCTTGGATTCTGAGCTGGACTCTTGTTAAACAAAAACACAAGTGACTCAGTTGTTGGCTTTACTCCTCTTTCAGATAGAATATAATAATGCTACAAATATAAATCCCTAAAATTAAAATAAATACCTAGCAAGTTTATACATATATTTTTAATTAAATGGGCAAATCGACCAAATATTGAGAGATCTAAAAATTTTCGTAAAATCTAAAGATTTCGTAATGGGTGATTTTAATGCCAAAATCATGATCATCATCTTTTTTCATTGCAGCCCTTCGTGATGCCTGGCCTGCTTCAAAACATTCTTCCCTCCTCGGCCTTTGTGTGTCCGTTTTATCTACTCTATTTTCCCTTAAATCTTCTTGCACATCGTCCAAATATCTGAATTTAGGTCGCTCCCTTCTTCTTTTTCTTCCGACTGCCTATTTAGCATGGTTATTTTAGCAAGGTCGTTTTCATCCTCCACATAACGTAGCCCACCCATCTTATTCAGTTTATTTTGATGGTTTTCACGATATCTATGTCACCATAAAGTCTATAGAGTTCGAAGTAATGTCGCCTTCTTCTCAGACCCTCTTCGTTAACCCCGCCATATATGGTCTTTAATACTTTTCTTTCAAAGATTCGTAGTAACTCTTCATCTCGAGTCGTTATTGCCCATATTTAAGATCCCTAAGGAAATACTGGGTAGGCTATACTTTTATAAAGATTGCTCTTTGTTGCTCTTGACATATTTCTTGCTCTTAGTTGAGAGCTTTTTTAAAAATCTTTAAAATGATCACTGGTAAAAGTGATTTACATGAAAATGAAGGTAAGATATAACTAAAACAAAGTGCGCTTATATTTTTTGTGACGCACAAAGTAACAAACTCACCCCCGTCAAAACCAACCTGGTTGAAACTATTCGTTGTACATTTATAATTTACTTCATTTACATAAAAATATTACATTCTTAAAATTGAAATCGTTTAAAAGGTTCAGTTTTGAAAAAACGCGAGTTTAAATTTGACACTATTTTCGGAATTTCTCAAAAAATTCTTTTTTTTTTTAAATAACTCAATCACTATAAAGATACAAAAGAAATTTTAAAATGATGCTAAGTTGTTAACTAATGAACACAGGAGGGTGACCTGTCTTGTGTGTGGACTGAGTAGAATAAAGAAACCTAATAAAGACAAAGAAAAAAAGAGCTATATTGTAATGTATTATAATTATGAAAAACAACCAAATAATAATTTTATGCAAGAAAACCCCATACAATTTGGTTACAAAATTTCGTGCTTGTGTGCCTCAAATGGATACCTTAATGATTTAGATCCGTATAGTGGTATCGTAGAAAATTAAGCAGGTCCCATAGGTCCATACTTGCGAAAAATTTGATAAAAGTTTATTAACTGGACACTATCGAGAACCATGAAGTTTTCTTCGACAATTTTTGAGATCAAAAATCTATAAAATTAAAAGCAACGGAAACTAGGCGAGAGAGTAGAAGGAAGCAATGCCCACTTATGGTACGATGGAAAGATAACAAGATGGTAACAATAGCATCAAACTATAGCCATGTATTACAGCCAACCAATACCAAAAAATTTTCACGAAAAGAGAAGCAAAAAATTACCGCTCCAATACCTTATTTGTTTGGTTAATATAATAAAAATATGGATGGCGTAGACTTGTTAGACCAGAAAATATCCTTATGCAGGACTAGGTTCCCTTCAAAAAAATGGTGGTAACCATTGTTTATTCAGTTGTTGGGCATTGCAGTCATATTATATACATGGAGACTCTACCAGTAAAGCATCCTTATGAGGATATTTTACTGCTAGATATAAGACGAAAAATAGTTTTTTTTTATTTATAAGGTAAAAATCAAACCGTAGAAGACCAGGTGCTCAAAAATCAAAGTTGTCGGGGAAAGGGTAAATTTGGAAATAGGCTATAATCTAAATCATCTTATAAAACCAATATTTGTTTTGCGTTTCTTTTTATATATAAAATTTAATAAAACTAAAACAATTTTAATTTTGTTTTTAGCAGCCTCTATAGTACATCTTGCTAATGTCTCAAAAATAGAAAAATAGAACAGCCTATAATTGTTTATTGTTAAACAAAAACAATAATAATTATAGTGAAAATGGCTGCAATTGACTAAAATTAATGTTTTTTGTAAAATTAAATTATTATTTTTGTGTTTTTTTTAATTGCATCAGTTTATGGATTAACTAAACTTGAACAGCTTAAAAAAAATTATAAACAAGTTTAAAGAACAACATTTACAATGCCATAGTGATATCAATAATCATTCACATTTTAGGTTATATGCAAAAGCCCTGTGTACTCTTCTCTTGAGGATATCTGAAGATAATAAATAACTCGATAATTAAGATAAATAATGAAGATATGAGGCGCCTTTATAAAAAACATAAAATAATTCAATGTATAAAAGAGAAGCAAAAAATATTGATCTGAAGCAATTTTCTTGTGGTATTTTAAAGTAATTACTATTTAAATGGGAACAAGCTACAATTAAAGGTTAAAGTAAGTTTATTGACGTTTAAATTTCCACTTCGGAAATCGTTCTTAAAATACAAACATTAGTAAATTAAACAAATTTTGTTTTTTTTGTTACTTGGTGAAAAATTCTTCTTTTAATTTAATTTTATCTGATTCATTTATATTGACAATTCAGGCATACATTATACATTTTAAAGTAGACGACTTTAAAATGATATTGCCAATATTGTTGAGTTGCGTTCCTGGGACGACTTTACTTGTAAGATAATTCAGATAATTCATTCGATTACATGAAATTAACTTTAACTTAACAATATCTGTCAGAAAAAATCATAGCATGTAATTCGTCTTTAAAAAAACAAACACATGCCATGATGACAGTAAAAATCTCCTGTTAGTGATTTCATAGTAAATTATGAGGGAAAAACCAGGAAAAAAACTCATAATACAATCCCGACACTGTGAGTATTTGGTCGTGCATTTAGTTTACTTTCAATAAACACCAAATTCTGAGTTTATATGTCTGTTATTTAAAAAACATAAATGATGTATCCTCTATATGTTACTGACTTTACTGGTTACTGGTATTTTCCTTTTAATAACTTCCTCTTTTATTATGGGTAACAAGATCCTACTACATTTTGCCGAGGAATTTCCAACATAATTGGTCTCATTTAGCATAATTAGAGTCGCTTCTTTGATTTTTCTCTTTTTACCATCCATTTCTTTTACGACTATATTTGAATCATTCCATTGAACCTTATGTTCATTATCCCATGCGTGTTTACATATTTGAGATCTATCAAATTCTCTATTTTTAATATAAGATTGATGTTCACTTAGTCTAACATTTAATGACCTTGATGTTTCACCTAAATAAAACTGATCGCATTCACAAGGTATTTTATAAATAAAATTCTTTGTCATTTCTTGTTCATTGTTAGGTTTGGTTTTAGACAAAATAGATCTCAATGTGTTTGTGTTGTTTTGAATGTTGTTTAAATGTTAAATTTATTTCCTTATCCGTTTAAGTTTTTTTGATAATCCTTTTATGTATGGTATTGTTATTTTCCTCGTATTATTCCTTGTGTATGCTGTAGGATTTCGTTCTAAGTTGTTCTGTTCTATTCGGTCGATTCTTGAAAATTCCTTATTTATACCCATATTAAAAAAAGAAGTCCCAGTATTAGTAATACATCATTTATGTTTTGTAAATAACAAACATATAAAATCAGAATTTGGTGTTTATTAAAAGTAAACTAAATGCACCACCAAATACTTACCATGTCGGGATAGTATTATGAGGTTTTATTCCTGTTTTTTCCCTCATGTGTTTGACTTTTTAAAGACGAGTTACATGCTATAATTTTTTCTGACGGATATTCTTAAGTTAAAGTTGATTTCATATAATCGAATGAACTATCTAACTCGAAGTAAAGTCGTCCCAGGAACGCAACTCAACAATATTGGCAAAGTCGTCTACTTTAAAATGTATAATGTATGTCTGAATTATCAATATAAATGAGTAAGATAAACTTAAATTATAAGAAGAATAGTAACAAAAAAAAAATTGTTTAATTTACTAATGTTTGTATTTTGGGAACGATTTCCGAAGTGGAAATTGAAACGTAAATAAATTTACTTAAACTTTTAATTGTGGTTTATTCCCATTTAAATAGTAATTAAAGCAAAAAAATAAACAAACACTTGGAATGAACGAGTCTTAAAAAGAAACGAAAACAATCAGTAACTATCAGGAATTATTAATGATTAGATGGTCTATTAGACGATCACGAAATATGTAGAGCAGGAATGAATATACAGAAGAATGATGACACATCATTTTGTATTACTTGTAGACACATATAAATGAAAAAAAAATAAGATTTTTTTAGGCATTTTTTACGAATTATAATTACAATGTTTTATTTGAGGTAATAATTGAATTCGATCCCCTTTTTTTCCAGTTGTGCGCCTATGGCATAAAAGTATCTTATATTATAAAAGTATACTTAGACTAGGTACTTACTTAATTGGATGGTATGATGGTCTGTAATCACTTCCTTCCTGAAATTTTCCAATCGAGCCAAAGAAATTTCTTTCCTAGAAAGAGACTTCCTCCTCTCTTGTTTTCTTTTGAACAAAGGCATTTTGAACAAATAAACAAAATATCCACAATAAGTAAATCCAATAAGTTAAAGAAGCCGAGGTCACAAACAATTAGAGAGAAACATTTTAACGTATATACGAAAATCCACTCGAAAAGTGTTAATATGGTACGCGTGAGTTGGAATTTTCAACTAAAAATACATTCGTTATGTATATCTGGAATACTGGAGAGACAAAAAACGATTTTAACCGAACTTCCACTGTAACTGAAACTGTTTGAAGCCGATTTTCAGCAGATTTCAGCGTCGGTCATGTTTAAAAAAAGACTTTTGCCTGAAAACGCTTCGGTTTCCACACAGCTTCGATTATTTTGCGAAAAGTGACGCGTTCAACTAGTAATGGGGAGATATCGATGAGAATATAGGATTTTTCCAGTTTCATCAGGTCAAGGGATGCGTGAAGGTGTATACCGCTTGATATAATTGTATCCAGAAATGATGTAGCCATCATCGAGTTCGGAAATATACAGGAAACGTGGCGGCCACTCCTATGACGAATCATCGGCGGCCAGAGACTTGCGAACTATTGGCAATCTTAAAGGGATCGTTTTTTTTTGGCGATCGATCAATTTTTGGAAGATATTGCACGCTCTTTGCACATTTATAATTTATGTATTTTTCAAAAATATTACGTAAAATATTTAAGAAATCATTTGTAAAGTTACTACCATTAGTTAAGCTGCATACGAGTTTGTTTGTTATTCTAATAGTTACTCTTATTTACATAAGCGTTGATTTCACTCCAGGGTTTAGGTATTTGTTGACTATTCCGGCATCAAACTTGACTTTATCTTTTAAAGTAGAGTTTATTATAATCTTCTTCTTCCTTTCGGTTTTTACTTTAGTACTTAAGTTAGTAGATTTTCCTCCATTCTGCTTATATCTTCTTCTTCTTCAAATGCCCTGTTTGCTACGAGCGTCTATTAACATGACAATTCTGATCTTGCTTACGACACTCCTGAATAGTTTTACTGATATGAGTCTGAACCATTTCAGCAGATTTTGAAGTCACAAATATGTTTGTGTGTTTGTCCCCGCCTGCTGTCTATTTCTAAGGCTCTTCGAACTCTACTGAGTTCTAGTTGTCATCTAGAATCCATTCAGACATTGTCTGGAGGTCGGCAGCAACCCCTAGTGGGAGTCTTATGTTGCCATACAGGTTATCCGAGAAATACTCAAACATCACAACATAGTTTTAAATAAAATGTAAGACATATTAAATTTTGTACCATATAAAAGGTTTTTACCCAGGTATTTAGTGACTTAACTTATGTGCACCGAGCAACAAAATGCTGATGATGGACTTTTTAGCCCGGAAACGTTCTGTGATGTAGCTCGAAATAGATTTTAATTATATACCTTTTTAGAAAGGATTTTAAATAATAAACAAAATAAAATAGAGGACGATCTGGCAGGTTTTACAGCTGAGAAATCATGTGCTGACCATATCTACACTATACACCAGCTAATAGAGAAGATGATGGCAAAGAACAGACCAGTCTATCTAGCCTTTATTAACCTAAAAAAGGCATCTGTGCTCAGGCAACGACTGTGGGAAGCCATGCAACAAATAGGAGTAGAAGATAACCTGATCTATGTAGTGAAGTCCATGTACACACATAATAATGTTACATCCAAGGTAGGTGACAAGTTTGGAAAACCATTTAAAACCACAAAAGGTCTCCTACAGGGCTGCTCAACTTAACCTACACTCTTTAAAATATTTCTTTAACACGCCCTAAAGCCATGGAAAAAAGAATGTGAGGGAATGGGAGTACAAATAACGAACGACCATCTGTATACCCTCAGTTTCGCCGACGATCAGGTCATAATAGCACAAGACGAGGAAGATCTAAGTTATATGGTTCGAAAACTAGAAGAGGAATATAATATAAATGGTCTGGAAATAAACATTAACAAATCAGAATATCTGAACACAACACAAGAACCAACAAGAAACCTGAAAGTGGATGACGGGCGTAAAGTAAAGGGGACCGATAAATTTAAATACCTGGGGTTCATTATATCAAATAAAGGTACTACAGAAGAAGAAATTAAAAATCAAGTAAATTGAACCAGAAACTCTATAAAACAACTTAATCCAATCCTATGGGACAGACACGTAACAAAAAATAATAAAAAAAAAGAATTTATAATACGATGATTCGCAGCATTCTAACATATGGAGCAGAAAATTGGGTCTTAAACAAAAGCAACAGGAGCAAAATAAACGCCACAGAAATAGACTACTGGAGAAGAAGCTGCAGAGTTTCTAGAATGGACCAAATAACTAACGACGAAATCAAAAGACAAATGGAGATAAAGAAAGACACCTTAAATTACATTGAAGAAAAAAGAATAACGTGGTACGGACATGTCAGACGAACAGACCCAAACCGATGGATAGCAAAAATAATAGAGTGGAGCCCCATATGAAAACGCAAAAGAGGCAGACCAAGAAGATCTTTCAGAGATGAGGTAGATGAAGCCATGGAAAGAAGAGGATTGGAAGACGGAGAATGGGAGGACAAAGAAGAATGGAGGAAATGGTTGAGAGAAGGGAGACAGCGACAGGTGCAGGAACCTCTTTCATATATATATATATATATATATATATATATATATATATATATAGAACTACAAGAATTTTATTTTCCTTGTTTGTGGACTTTTTCATATTGTTAAATGCTGCTCTATCACATTCTATTTTCGCCTTAATTTCTGTGGCCTGTTCCTATTGTTTTATTTACGTTGATACCAAGGTAAGTAAAATTCTACATGATAAATTTTTTATTAAGGTTATTGCTTTTTGTTTGTAAGCATTAATTTTGTTTCTTGAAGTTGGGACTCAAGCCGTAGTTCTCATTGACAGCATTAACCCTTTCCATTGCATGTTGTAATTTATCTATGCTACTGGAAATAATCATTGTGTCTTCGGCGTATCTTATGTTGTTCGTTAACTCATTGTTTATGTTTATTCTTTCTGTTGCATTTCCATAATTTTTTAAATATTTTCTCGGAGGAAATATTAATGAGGAGTAGGGATAAGATACACCCCTTTCCGACACCTCTTTTGGTCTCCATATTTTCAGTAAGGCTATTTTTGCTCTTGTTGTTCGACCCCAGTATAGTTTGGCCACAATCCGAATATCTTTGTCGTCCATATCTGTATTTTGTATAATGCACACTCTTCGTCTTGTAGTACCTTCTTCAACGTCATCACTGTCAACTTCTAAATTTATTTGCTGGACGATATCAACAACTTTTTTAATAATATTACTAACTTCATCATGCTCTGGCATTAATTCCATTTTAGTGTCAGTGATGAACAAGAAGGACACAGTTTTTGCCAGACGCTATTCAATGTTTTTTGTGAAACTTCATTCCAAGATTGTCCAATGATTGTCACTGCATCTAACACGTTGAATTATTTCCAAAAGTCTTTAACAGAGAGCTTGTCGTTGTTTCTTATAACATCATGGAGATGTGCCAATGATCGTCTGGTGTAATAAGCCTTGAATGTGTTAATGACTCCCTGATCCATCGGCTGAAGTAAACTGGTTATATTAGATGGCAAAAATGCAACTTCCACACGTGGGTCAAAACTAGTTAAAATTGCAGAAGAATGACCAGGAGCGTTGTCGATAATTACCATCACTTTAAATAGAATTTTTTTAGATTGACAATAACGTTCTACTTTAGGTATAAAATGATGACCAAACCAATCCTCAAAAAGGGAAGCTGTCACCCAAGCTTTACGATTAGACATCCAAATTACAGGCAAGCCAGATTTAGATTTTTTAGTGCTCTTGGATTTTCTGAGCGATAAACTAAGAGTGGTTTTAAATTGCAATCACTAGCTGCATTTGACCCCACCATCACTATTAATCGATTTTTGGCAGCCTTAAAACCTGGAAAGGTTTTCTCTTTACGTGCGATGAAAGTTTTCTTAGGCATCTTCTTCCAAAGCAGACCAGACTCATCTACATTGAATATGGTTTATTTGGTGTAGCCACATTCATCTATTCTTTTCTTCTTCTGGTTCCTATCCGTTTCGGATGTTGGAAATCATATTGGCAATCATAACCTTGCTCGCTGCGGCTCGAAACAGCTCCGTTGAGGTTTTCTTAAACCATGTTCTTAAATTCCGCAGCCATGATATTCTCCTTCTACCGGGTCCTCGCTTACCTTTGACTTTACCTTGCAATATAGACTGTAGCAGGGAGTAACGGTGCTGATTTCTCATAACGTGTCCCAGATATTGCAATTTTATGTGTTTGATCTTACACACAATCTCTGGTTCCTTCTTCATTTTTCATAGAACTTCCTTGTTCGTGATCCTTGCTATCCATGATATTCTCAGCATTCTTCTATAAAGCCACATCTCAAATGCTTCAAGTTTTTTAATAGTGGTGTCTGTAAGCATCCATGCCTCCGCCCCGTACAACAACACAGAGAAAACATAGCATCTCAAATGTCTCATTTTTGTATCAAGGGATATGTTGTGACTTTGATATTGTTCTTGCCTTTCCTATGCGGCACTTTATTTCCTGTAAATTGCTTCACTGTTCGTTAATAATAGTTCCCAGGTAACAATACTGTTTTTTTCACTACTACAATTCATCTATTATGGCTTTTAATTTCTGTGGATAACAAGACGCAGCCTCTTTATCAGCACTTGCCGCTTCTCCGCTTTCTGCTATGCCAATTACAGCGACTTTTGAATCGGCTGAACCAACCGTTACTAACTGTACATCCTTAGCGATTTATCTAGTATTCTCTTCCAATCTCTCAAAAATTAGCTTAGCTTGGGAGCACACTGTATTCTAATCAATAGGACAATTTTTTACATTTATCCCAGTATCACACCATAATTTTAACGTTGTCTCCATTTCGGCGATAATGCCATAACGTTTACGTACGATGGTGGAATTTAAAGATTGTGCACTTTTCACGGCTTCGAGAATTTTTTCCTTGTCCTTTATAATTGTTCTGACCGTTGATTCCAATAGATCAAACTTCTTTGATAGTTCACAGAATTTCATTTTTTATTTAAAATCTGTAATTACGTTAAGTTTACATTCCAAAGATAACGTTTTTCTTTTCTTATTTGCTACAGAAGGATCAGTTTTACTTCGTTTGGATGACATTGCTCTTTCAAGTCTTCAGTGGATATAAAATAAAAACCCCGCTATAAAAGTCAGAAACACCCACTTCGTAGAC